ACAACTTAATTTTATAGTGTAACATTTGAAATGGATGAATCAGAAGCTCAACATTTAAAGTATAACAGTTGATGTCTGCTTACATTATATTTAACTGTGTAGGTCAACATATATTTAAATATTTTCATGACATAGAAACTAGTCCTATTACTTTCTGCTGATCTAATTATCTTATAATTTTGGTTTATTGTAGATCTCAGTTCTGGATGGATCTCATGAACGATTTGAAGGAAAGACATCTCTTCAATGGAAGTCATGAGCACACATGCCTTGTGCGGTTTGTCTTCATGGATATGCTACAGAGAGATCTTGATGAATGCAAGGACAGGTGGAATAAACATACCATAAGACCTGTTAAACAATCTTGCTGTCCATCTGGTAAACCAGATGTGATGTATCATCTACCTCACAGGTAATTTTTGTTGTTTTTGTCTTCAACATCTGGTTAATTTAAAACCTCTTTGGGAACTCTAAAAAATAATTTGCCAAAACAAAAATAATGAACAATGTGTTAACAGTATGTCACTTTTTATTCTAACAATTTCAGATGACAATTTCTAAAATTTAAATTTAAATACAATTAATCATTTAGACAGGTTACAACAATAGTCACAGCAGTAACAGTTTAGTGAAGAAATGTAAATATAACTAAATGTTTACTATGCTTCTTCTATTCCTAGGTTTGGTGGAACAGACTGTGGTTTCCCAGTCTCCCAGGAGCAATTGGGACAGTTTGTGACAGAGACTAACAACATTCAATGTGGAGATGAACACCTTCAGGCACATTTTGAGAACCTCCAGAGACAGTGCGGCCTAGCACATCCACAGAGTTGGGAATCATGTGTCGAAAACTATATCAAACTGAAAAACATGGCGGACTTATAAACAAACAAGAATCCAAATTTGAAGGTCGCACACAAACACTAAACAGTGTCATAACTGAACAGGTTTGACAAGTTAAATAGTTAGCATTTTGTTTTGTTGTTATGCATTTCACCTTAATAAAGCCAAAACCCAGGGGAGTTTTGAATCCCAAAGTCCATGTCTTCTTTAAACTGATGATACGTCTTGGACATTGGTATTTTGATAGTGTTGGAGCAGGTGCTACTGACAGGAAAACGAGAAGTGGCCTGAAAGATCAGTTTTGGTGGTGACAGAATTGAAGATGGAGGTAGTTTGTTCTAGCCGGTTGCAAACATCAGGATGTCCTGGAGAGAGAGACCCGTTTTTTGTTCTAGAAAAGAAGCAATGAGTTTATGTATCAGATATTACAATAACACCAGAATATAGCAATAAATCTTAAAGTCCACCTTCTGTGTCAAGGAGAAAGTCTCTCCAGAATCCTAGCACTCTTGTTTCCTCAAGTCGTCTGCTGCTACCCTTTTCACTGAGCTGAACCTCAAATATTTCCTCCAATATTTTGGATGTCAGCTGTTCCACTCTTGCACACATGAATGGCCTGAAGACGGAAGCATGCTGCTCCAAAGCATTCTGGAAGTTCAGTGTTGAAAGGCCATCCTTGAATCTATAAAAAGTTTGAAACAGAAATCACCTTAATTATTATCAAAAGAGCAGATATTTTTCAGTAACTCAAAGAACATTAATATGTCTAATCTTTTTTTATTATTTTTATTTAGCATAGGTAATATTGCTGATCCACTGTACACAGTGAATTAACCTACAGTAACGTTAATTTTCTCCAGTTAAGCCGTCCAATCAATAAGGCTCCTATTTATTTGGCTGCTGTTGATTGATTGATTGATTGATTGATTGATTCTTGCACTATTGTACATTTGCTTGTTTTAACTGCAACAAAATAGTAACTAAATTA